TCGAGTTATCCACTGTGTTCCATGGGCACCTCGTGAGTGAGGACAGAAATTGGGGATTTGGTCACTGATCGGATCACTGGGAGTGTCTGCAGTGCAGAGAAAAGTCACTTTGTAACTGCTTGTGAAATGGTGCCCAGATTGAAGGTGTAGAACTGAAACTGTGGAGCAGGGGATGAGGTACCATTTTATAGACCAGATTTATATGAAGAACATCTGGGTAAAACTCAGCTCAGAGACAGCAGGACTTTAGGACAGATGACTTTTTAAGAATGAGGCTGTTTCCTGGAACTGGAGAACATCCAGTTTGTAAGGGACAGCTTTTCACAATGGTCACTTTCTTCAATAATGGCAACTTCACATGGGAGGAGGGAGAGGATTAATTTGGAAGTTTTCAGCTCACTGTGCTGGGAGGGACCAAACTCAAGGAAACCTCTGATCTATATACACAACTGCTGCATTTTTTATAAATATATGTAAATGTCCTATTGTAATATTTGATCCTGGAAATAAAACAAACTGTTTTCAGTAGCTTTCTTCAGCTCTTGGTTTTTTGCAGTGGGGTTTATTTGTTGGTTTAGTTCTAATGGAAGTCTGTCCCTGTGTTATATTGGGGAGTTGCTGAGTTTTTCCTTAAGGATACTGCAGTAGAAGGATAAGGAGCTGTTGAGGACAGCACTGCCCAAGAAAGCTTCAGGCTGTTTTATCTTGAAGTGACACAAACTTGATAGGAAAAATATCTGGATGAAAACTAATAAAAAGAGGCAGGTGTAGGATTTTCCATCCTTTCCAATGAAAGAGCAGAGGAAATGGGGCTTCCTATTCTGAACTGCCAGTGTCCTCCTGGTACAGGTGGTGGCAAAGCAGAGCCTCTGACTTCTGCAGTTGCATTTGGGCTCCTTGGGAAGTTCCTGTCGTGGCCTGGCATGAAATGCTGAGGAGCAGGGGCCCTTCTGGACCAGGACTTGGCAGGTACAGTGGAGAAAGAGAAATTAAAAAATCAATTTTGGGTCATCCTCATGTTCCTGACTGTAGGTAGGTCTGCACTGAAACAGTGGAGCTCAGCCCCTGCCACAGTCTTGAAGCTGGAAAACCCTGAGCTCTTAATGCAGCCTAGGAAAATATTTCCAATTCCAACTGAGTTGGGAATCTTTTTACATCAGTCTGCAGGTCAAGGAACTATAGGGATACCTGCAACTCAAAATTCCTCTTGGGGTTTAATTTACTCTTCCTTTCTGTAAATGCCCATCTTTTCATGGGGTTGGGTTATTTGAATTGTAAATTTGGGTGACATTTGTAATCCCTAAAGCAAATATTGCCCAGCATCACATTGGTGTTTCCTCAGTCAGTTCTAGGTACAAACGCCTTGCAGGGCTTCTCTAAGGGGATTTTGGGAGAAGTCTTGGGTGAGTAGTGGCAGATGCTAAGGAGAAGAGTTGGAGAGACCAAAGGGGATCTGAAGCTTCCATCCAGAACCGAGGTGGAGGCTGGTTTGGCACTGAATGGTTCCTTCCCACCAATTCAGGCTCACCTCAGTCTATTTGGCTCTCCTTGAAGCCAAACCACTCTTGAAACCCAGCCTGCTCTGCAGTTTCCCCAGCCCCAAAGGAGTCTGAGGAAGCAAAGGGCTGGGGAGCAGGGAAGTGAAGGTGCTTCTTCAGCTGTGAGGAACCAGCAGAAGGACCTTGCCAAGCTGGAATTCAGCTGGAATTGTAGGTGGAACCACGTTTGGCTGCACGAGGACTGGGTGACTTTGGCAGGAAGTTCCTTGTCCATAATTGCTGTGCTGACACTTTCACAGTTGAAATCTGATGTGAGAAAGGCAAGCACACAGCTCCTCATGTGCAGGGCTAAAATGAGCCTTCTGTTATGATTATTCTTATAAGGAAAAGATCAGCAATCCAGGAAAGAGAGTGTCACCAGGATGCTTCACACTTCCTGGCGTGGGGTTTTCTGTGGGAGATGATGGAGCAGGTCATGTGTGTGGTGGGAACCTCAGATTGCTGTGACGTAGGAAAGGCACAAGATGAGGTTGCAAAACATTTTCTTCCAACAGAGTGAAAAATGGGTTCCCCTCTTTCTAAGTAATAAAAGAGAGGAAGGAAAACTTGGACTCTGCTTATCCTGCATGCATTGTCTGTCTTCATTGTAGAGACTGATTTGTCTTATTTAAGGATGAAATACCCCGAGATGAACTGCTTGAGCACAGTGCTAAGGATGCCAAGGTCTCAGGCTCAACCCCTGCGTGCGCCACTCACCTCAGAGCTGGACTCCATGATCCTGCTGGATCCCTTCCCCCTCAAACTGTTCTGGGATTCTGTGACTAAAATGGGAATTCCTCTCCTGCTGCTGACTCTGATTTTCCTTTCAGAAGGACTGTCAGATAATCCGTTCCTCAGTTTATTTTTGCTAGAGGAATGGAATTACCTGCTGTAACTTGGCCTCACCCATTCATCTTTTCCCATGTGGCTCTTGGAGGGCTCTCAAAACTCTTCTTTGAGAAGGTTCTTCCTTCTGCCTGCACAGCCCATGAGCCGTTCTTCTCTTTGCTTGTGCCACTTGCAACTCCTCTGCCAACAAACCTGCCCCATTTTTACCATTTTTGGTGCTACAGCTTCCCTGACTCCTGTTCTCGGACACAGAGGCCATTCATGCTCTCCTGATCCTGTTCCTGACCTTCTCTGTGGGAATTGAAGTCTCCCTGTTGCACATTAACTGCCAGCCATGGCAGATAGGAAATGCTGATATCTGATGATTTATGATAATTAAGATACCCGGAAATAACCTTCCTCTCTCAATCTTATTACCAAGCATGAGATACACACGTGGTGGGGATACACTCAGCACCTGAGGAAAAGCCAGGACACCTGTGAGGAAGCAAAGGGTGGGAGGTAGGAGCCAGGTGAGACATGGGAATGTTTATTCTGAAGCTTTTATTGAAGTATTAGAGAGGAAAGTATTACCCCAACATCTTCACCCCAGCTTGTTCCAGGAGCAGCAGGCTGAGGCATTTAATGCAGCTGTGGTAGAAGCCTTAAAATCTGAGTTTGTGCCTGTTTCGATGAACTCTGCCAGGGTAAATTCTGAAATGGGGAAGAGCAAGGCAGAAGCACAGCCACAGCGTTGGCAGAGGCTGGCTCATCCAGCCAGTCATCCTTCCTTGGGATGGGGGAGATGGAGGGTGATGATCTGGTGGGCGGCCCCAGGGGGAAGGAGGGGAGGGGAGCACATGCCGAGGTGTCAATAAATAGTCACCCATGGGTGATGCCTCCGGGCCAGGGCTCACCCCAGGGGTGGATGCTGCTGCTCGGCGTGAGATCACTGCAGGTAAGCTGGGAAGTGGGGGGAGTTCCCTGGGCTTTGCTGGAATCTCTGTGCTTTTGGTCATGGATCTGTGCTGGGAGAAGGGAGACCTGCTTTCACAAGGGTCCTGATGGACACAGGACCACCTGCACTTTGGCTCTGCCTCCCCTGCACAGGGGTTTGTCTATATTGGCTGAGGAGCTGCTGCTTGCTCAGGGGGATGTTTGGAGGGGACAGCTCTCCATGGGAGCTTCCCGAGGGAAAGAGACCTCCTGCCATCCCCAGGGATAGGGCAGCAGTGGAAGGAGAGTGCTTGGAGAGGTTGAGGGCAGGCATGCAGAAAGGCTCTGGCTGGTGAGAGCCCAGGCTGTGAGCTCAGAGGAGCAGGAGCTGTTCCAGAAGGCCGTGGGGAGGTTGGGCTCAGCAGAGGGCACTCATGGCTGTGGGAGGAAACAACCACGTGCAATCCTTGGACTGCAGGCAGGACCTCACTGAGGGCCGGAGGTCCTGAACTCCCTACCATGAAGACAGGGAGGATGGAAATCAAGAGAGGTGGAATTCTAGGATGGGTGGAGCTGATGGTCCCCCTCGGGTGTCTTGGCTCGTGTCCCTGCACACAGGTCTCACAGCCCTGTTCCTCCATGCTCAGCCCTCCCCAGTGCCCTGGTGGGGCTGGTCCCAAGCAGACCCCGCTGGACCGGTGTCCCCCAGCCCCTCAGGCTGTGCCAGGGCTGGGCATGCTCTTTCTCTTCCTGGAGAAACAACCACACTGTGCTGCAGCCACTTCTGCTTTGCAAAGCCAGAGCGAGCATGAAAAAACCGGCCAGAGCAAGGAACGGCCTGACCCAGGGAACCTGTGCAAAATGGGCTGCAGTCGAGCAGGAAAGGGGAAAAGGCATAAGCCCAACTTGAAGCCGAAAGGACTCAGGGTGGAAAACAGCTGGGAGCCAGGACAACAGCAAACTGTGCTATTTTCAGCAGTGCCAGAGTGACCAATGCACATCCTGTGCAAGATGAGGGGCTTGTAGGTGCAGGAGAGAGGCAATTTTGGACAAGGTATCACCTGGAGATGGGCAGGTGCTTTCTAGACAAACTCATAATTTAATAAGATGCCAGTGGAACTGGAGGATAGGTAATAATGAGTTCTTAATTAAATTTAATTGGTTTCAGCGTACTCAGACCTGTGGTAGGACTAGTGCATCAGGGATGGAATAGCTGTCGGATTTGATTGGAGACTGATGTGCTTCCACGAGACCTTGTACAAGGATTTTGCCTCTTTCCCAGCTCCCTCCTGCTGATTGTAAACACTGAAAGCCAAACTGAGCCGTGGTGGGTGGTCGGCTCCCGCAGAAACATTTTCATAGGACCTCAGACTGGCTTTTCGTGGAAGGGACCTTAAGGACCATCTTCCCCTGCCATGAGCTGGGACACATTTTGGAAGAGTCAGCCCTGCAGTCACACAGGTCTTGGGGTTTGGTGTGGGAGCACCATTGCCCACTTGGCAAAGAAGTATTAGAATTTCCACTGGAAATTGCCCTCAAGTAGGGGCAGTGCCATCAGGGTGAGCTGACACCCACAAGCACAACCCAGCAACTCCCATCCACCCACAGCTGAGAGATGGGCTCAGGGCGGGGAACCCTCGGGGCCAAATGCAGCCCTTTCCTCTCCTCCTCTTCCTCCCTGTTCCATGCAGGACAGCCATGTGTGTGGGGAAGTGCAGCCGGATCGTGGGTCCCTGCCTGCTGGTGCTGGGCACGCTCTCCATGGCAGCCGGCATCCTCCTGCTCTTCCCTGGTGGAGCATCCAAGTACCTGCTGGAGGGGCACATCAGCAGCCACGCCAAGGCTCTGCCGGGTGTCTGGGGAGGCGGCATCGCTGTGAGTGCTGCAGAGTGTGTCCTTCCCCCGGGGCTGGAGCAGGGACAGAGGGATGGGGCAGGACAAGTGGCTGCCTTTTGTCCCCCCAGCTGGGTTTCTGTCCCTGCAGGTGATGCTGGCAGCGACACACGTCACGGCGCTGGGGTGGCAGTGCCCCGGCTGCGGCACCCGACACAACGTAAGCCAGGGCAGGGACCCACGGTGGGACATGGCAGGGATCCTCCTCTCCCCTGGGGGATGGTGACAGGTCCCCCCTCTCCTGTGCTGGGTCACAGACCCCTTTCTCATGGTGCCACGGTGGGATGTGGTGGAGCCCCTCTCCCACAGCAGGTCTGAGCGCTGCTCTCCCATGGCAGGGTGCCACCACCCTGGGGACAGGGCTCCAGCGGCTGCTGGGATGGGATCTGCAGGTCACTGCCTCTCCCTCCTCCCCGCCCACTTCTGCCCATCCCAGTGATGGCTCTATCCTCAGCCACAGCCGGCTAGGGGAGTTTTCCCCCCTCCCAAGCTCTGCTGACAACCTGCAGCCGCGCTTTGGGTCCCCTCTGACTTTGTGTGTCCCCCACGGGTGCTCTTTGCAGGCGTTCATCTCCGTGGTGCTCTCCAAGCTGGCTCTCCTGGGCGCTGCCGCCTGCTTCGTGCTCTCCGGGGTGGGACTGGCCAATGGCCCCCTCTGCTTCTACAACAGCACCGAGCTCGGCCTCAGGCACGGCGCCTTCTGGGGTTACCCCTTCCTCGATGCCATTGACCTGGGGCCTGATGCCAGGTGAGGACTGAAGCACCACTGCTGCCTCATCAATTTAGTGCTAATTAACGTGGATTAATTAAGGTGGGTGGGTGCTTGCTGGTGGTGGTTGATGCAAGACCCTGGTAACTCAAGGAATTCTCACCTTCCACGGATTTCTACATGGTGCTTTCCATCTTCGTCGCCCCTCTGTAACCCTGCTCATCTTCCAGTGAAGGATGGGATGTCTGGGGGACACTGGGGGTAGAAAGCAAAGGGATTCTGGATTCTGGAGCCGCTGCAGGCAGCATCCTGCACCTTCTCCCCTTCCTGTCACACAGGGCTGAGAACTACCTGTACAACCGGAGCACCTGGAGCATCTGCCTGGAGCCGGAGGGCATTGTGACCTGGCATGTTGTCCTGTTCTCCCTCCTGCTGCTCATCAGCGTGGCTGAGATGGTGCTGGCCTTGCTCCAGATCCTCAACGGCTGCCTCGGCTGCCTCTGTGGCTTCTGTGAGGGGAAGTAGGGCCCGGTGGCAGTGCCAGGAGGCTTGGAGGAGGTGTCACCCTGGGTGTCACTGGCTGCTGGCACACGCCGCAGAGGGGGCACAGCAGGAGTTGTGATGCCAGCCCGGTGCGAGAGCTCCCGTGGGGGATGGACACCCCAGGTGTTGAAGCAGCTCGTGGGGCTGATGTTCCATGGGCTGCTCCTGTGCAGAGCCCCTGGCCTGGGCTGTGCCCCTTCCCTTGGGGCTGGCGGCCATTTGGGGCTGGAAACCGGCCCCGTAAGGGATGGAGGTGAGGACCCGGCTCCCAGCACCCCGGTGTGAGCCCAGCAGCTGCCTCAGCCACTCCTCATGATACTGGAATGAGGCAGAGAACCAGTTTTCTAACACAATTTGAGGCATTAGAAAGCAGGCATTCTTTATCACAGAGCTGGACACACGCAGGATCTCTCCTCTGATCGAACGTGTGTTGTGAAACCACAATGGGGTGTTTGTTCCATCATGATCAGACAGATTTATTACAAGGGATTTTCTAGAGAATACATAAACATCACTTTTCCTAGAACCAATTTACATGCCTCCATCCTTTCCTGGAAGTCCTTTTTTGGTCCCAGAGGGCTGTACTCACTGAGTGCCCCAATATTGTGACCTTGCCTTGAACTTCTCTCAGGCCATGAGCTGCTGTTTCTTGTTACATAACTTTGCCACAAAAGTCATTATGTTTCTCATTACCTGTTTCTCCACTAATTCCAGATGTGTTTAGCATCCTGTGTGCCTACTTTTACACCTTTTTATCTCACTTGCTAGTTACTCTTTAAGTTCTATTTTGCAACTTCAAGAGAACTGAAAATTTCTGTTCTTCATGTTGTCTGTCACTTGTCAGCCTCCACCCACCCCAGTGGAAAATGAGGCATGGTGGTGTCACACACTGCAGAGCTGGACACTTTCGTTAATCAGTTCATGTTCAGGGCAGTTGAGCTGGTGTTTGTCACCTGCACAGGGCAGGACAGGTGAAGGAGACTCAAGGTGGGGCACTCAGATGGAGTTGTGCTGGGGAAGGCAGAGCTGGAATTGAGGTGCAGCCCCCCCAGAGTTCACCCCCACACAAGTGTCAGGAGCAGCTGCTGCTCATTCCCAGGAGCAGGACCTGTGCTCAGCCCCCTCCCCATAACCCTTACAGGACCCAGTGTGGGCCTGAGCCTGCCTGTGCTGGGAGGGGCTTTGCCCCCAGACTGACAAGGGTCAGAGGAGAGCAGAGATGGCCATGACACATAAAAAAACCAAATCCCAGACCAGACAAAACATTAACTGGGCCATTCACCCCAGCTGGCACCTGAGAACCACCCAGCCACTCACCCCCATCCCATGGGAGGTGGAGAGAATTGGAGGGGTAAAAATGAGACATCTCCTGGGGCGACATAAAAACACTTTAATAATTGAAATAAAGATATAAATTGTAATGAAAAGGAAAATAATGAAGAGAGAGAACTAAAAGCCCAGACAAACAAGAAATGCAACACAAACATTTCTTTATCATCAACCCAAATATAAAACCCAGCCCCATCCCAGCTACGATGGAGGAACAGAACTCTACCCCAGCCCAAACCCTCACAGTGACTTCAGAGAGACCATTGAGAAAACGTCTTTTCATGAAAAAGAAAGAATTTAACATTATAGACCTTATTTATATAGCATAGCTATTGATAACAAGGGGAGGGAAGCCCTCAGAGCAGGGTGGTGGCACCAGGCATGGCAGAGCTGGAGCACCACATCCCCTGAGCCAGCACTGGCACACAGGGATGGCACAGGGTACCCCTGGCTGCCTCCCCCCTGCACTGCTGCTGTTGCTTCCCAATATCTCTTTTCAGAGGTGGCTATTGCTTGGAGAGGAGCCTGGAGCTCGGCTGGGGGCAAAAGCCTTCCCACCCAACCAAAACAGAATTAAAAAATTGCAATAAAAATGAGATAAACCCCCAGTGTGGGGACAGTAACACACCTCTGTGCGATGTGGCTGTGCCGGATGGTGGCAGGACCCAGCCTGTGGGTTGATGCTCCAGGATCCAGCACTGGGGTGGTGAGAGGAGCTGACCTGGGCGGGCTCTAGGAGATGAAGCAGCTCCTTTGCCTCCTCCTGCCCACGTGGCGCGTGGCGGCGCGGCCCCGCCGGGGAGCAGCAGCTGTCAGGGGAATGTTCTGGAGCACGTCGTGCAGCGTGAACATGCTGAAGGAGATCTGCTCATAGGGAGACCTCATCCCGTTCTCGTAGAGGCAGGCGAAGGTGATGGCCGTGCCGCCAGCCACTGGGGCGTCCCTGTAGGGCAGCTCCATGTAAGCCAGGTCTGAGTAAGCGCTCGGGCCCTCATAGATAACCCAGGGCTCTGTCCAGCTCTCTGCGTCCCTGGGGAAGGTGCTGAGGTGAATCCCCATGTTGACCCGCGACATGGAGCTGGTGGGGTGGGAGTAGAGGATCCACGTCGGTGCTTGGAAGAAGGGAGTGGGGCTGGGGGTTGCTGCACAGTCCCCCCGGACCGAGGTGACACTGTGGGCATCACCGTGGTGCCCTGGGGTAGGACAATGCTCATCGGGCTCACGGTGGTTGCCAGTGGGCAGCTCAGCACCTCCTGCCTGTCGGGTGGGCAGGTGCCCAAACCCCCGGAGCGCCCCAGGGAGCAGCCGGTGAGCCAAGCCCCGGAGGGGCCTCACGGTGTCCCGGGAGGCGCTGGGGACGTACACGAATGGTGCAGGGAAGCCAATGACACTGCCGTGACAGCCGTGGGGGGGCTCCACCAGCCGCTGCACCAGTTGCCCCCCATGGAAGACGGCCCCATCATCCGTGCTGAGCGCCTGGACCCTGAAGCCCAGGGGGCTGCGGGCGTTGCAGTAGAGGACATTGGATCCATCCTCCTCATCCACTGAGACCAGCTGGCACTCGCCCGTCTGCAGGTTGGGGATGAACTCCCCAAAGCGCCAACCGCGGCCATGGTCATCGCTGTAGAAGGCGAAGGAGTGCGGGGTGGTCTTGCAGAGCTGCCCAAAGCACTCCTTGCAGTCGATGTGGTAACTGTAGGCGGGCACCAGCAGCCGGCCAGAACGCAGCTGGATCCCATGGCCAGGGCCCAGCGCGAATGTTGCCCAGTCTGGGGAGCAGAGATGGGATGGGGGGAAGGTGGGATGGGGTAAAGAGTGACCACCATGGTGCCCTGCCATGCCCAATGTGGAAGGGTCCCCTCGGCTTCCTCTCAGTCCAAGTGGTGGGGTGGGAGGGCAACAGAGCCCAGTGCTGCCAGGTTGTCCTCACACATGCTCCTACCCATGGCTATGGGGCCTCTCCATCTTCTCCTCACCCCCAGTAACCGATATGGATATTCCCTCCATCCCTCCTCCCCTCTGCTCTTCCACCTTTTTGGAAGCTTGTGGGATTCTTATGTCAGTCTCCCCCAGCCACTGGTGGCTCTGGGAGGCCAAAACCCAGGGCCATCCCCTGTCTGGCTGCTCTCCCCTCTCCTCACCCCTTGTGGCTGGGTACCTTTGATGGTCGCACCGATGACCTGCTGCGTCAGGTCTGTGGCTGTGCTCCAGCTCAGGCCCTGGTCGGCGCTGGTGACACAGCAGAGGCGGGTGACGTTTTGGCCAGTGACAATCTGGTAGGCTTCGGGCGTCCTGCCCAGCACCGTGATGAAGAAGAGGAAGAGGGTGCCCGTGAACTCATCGTAGAGCGGGCAGGGGTTCATTGACCGATGGTGCTGCAGCGTTGCCGTCTCCAGCACACGCATGTCTTCCCACTGCCCGGGGAGGAGGAGGAGAGGACAGAGAGGAGTAAGGACCATCCCACTTTTTTGCCCAGAACTGTGACTGCCCCATCCCTGACGTGTTCCCAGCTGGGTTGGACAGGGCTTAGAGCAACCTTGGGATAGCAGAAGGTATCCCTGCCCATGACAAGGCATGGAATGAGATCGCCTTTGAGGTCCCTTCCAACAAAAACCAACCCATGACCCTGTGATGCACTTCACCCATGCCTCCAGGAGCCAGGCTGTGCCACACCTAAGCGATGAGGACAGCTCCCAGTGTGTCCCCAGCCTAGCTGGATGTGTCCCACCTCCACGTAGCTGCCGTAGATGGTGCCGCGGCGCAGCACCAGCAGGTTGGCGTGGGCATCGTCGGCACTGAGCCGTTCCTCGGCAAATGCCAGCAGCTTGGCCACGCAGGGCAGGTAGAGCAGGGCGGGCACACGGTATGTGACACCGCTGGATTCCTTCTCGAAGAGCACGGTCCGGGCCGGGAAGTGCCGGGAGCCCATGGCAGCTGCAGCAGAAGGATGTGGTGGTCTGATGAAGGTGGGGGGGACTGGCTGCTGGGCACGGCCAGGGGCACGGGGTTGTCCTTGGAAGGGTTTGGGGTTTAACTTGGTGGGCTTGGGTCTGGGTGACCCCCCAGGAGCAGGGGCTGAGGGCCAGGACTGGGATGGAGAGGGGCTGGGTCACCACAGCTCAGAGGTGGGTCAGGGCACAGGGTACCAGTGAGGAGGATGACCTGGGGACCCCAAAATAAAATTAAATAAAATTAATTTTATTTTTAGGATGCTTGTCTGGGAAATCAAGGCCAGTAAGCAAAGAGCAGGGTGAGACCCCTAGCTCCATGCTCTCTTCTGGGGGGCATTGGGAGGGTAGAGCCCACAGACGAGATGGCAGCAGCCCAGGCTCACCGTGACAGGGTCAGGGAGTGTTCCTGTGCCTCCAGAACCTCCAGCACAATGGACCCAGGCGGCCCCTCGCTCCCCCTCCTCTGTGGAGGGAACCTGAGATGCACAGCACGGACACTGGGGTCCCCAGCTGAACCATCCCTGTGGCAGTGGGTGAGAGCTATTCCCAAATGTCTTTCCTCCAGGGGCAGGTCAGCTGTCCCCATCTTACATGTCCCTACATTTCCCTGGAGATTATCCCCACAGAAGGAGACGGGCATCCGCTCCAGGCTCAGCTGGAGCAGACACGATCCACTCTCACCCGTGGTTTCATCAGGAGCTTTTGCTGACTGCACACCCCCCGGAGAAAGCGAAGGCACTCACCGGGTGCTGCTCAGCCGGAGTGTCCGTCCCCTCTGTCCCTCGGCCGCACCACGGAATGAGGCCGGCTGTCGCTGTCGCTGTCTTTCCTCAGAGCCTCTGCCTCGCCGCCACCGCCTCCCCCGGCAGGGTCCCCCCTCCGAAGGGTCACGGGGCTCCCCCGCCGGTGCCCGGGTTAAACCGCTGAGTCAGCAGCGGCGGGGGCTGCTGCGGTGCCGGGGCACAAAGGAGCCCTTATGGGCCCGGGCAGAGCCGAGACACCCTGCTCGGACCCCCGGGAGGGATCCGTGGGGCAGGAATTGCAGCTCCTCCTGCAGGCTGTGAGGGGCTAGGCTTCCCTGTCCAGGGCAGCCAGCCCATCATCAGCACAGTCCACCCTGCCATGAGCTCCCCAGCCTGGGAGCTGTGGTCCAGAGGGTCCCAGCCCTCCCAGGACCCCCAATCTTCCGTGGACCCCCAGCCCTCCCAGCTTTTCCAGGATTCTGTCTTCCCAGGACCCAAACTCTTGCAGGACCCCCAGCATTTCCAGGATCCCCAGCCCTATCTGGACCCTTAGCACCACAGAATCTGCAAACTTCCCAGGAACCCCAGTCCTCCCAGGATGCCCAGACTTCCCAAGCCCTCACCTGCACACATATCAGCTACTAAGAAAGTATTTTTGTACCTATATTCCAGTATTCCATTTCAGTGATCAGTTTAGCTAAAAGGGCTTGACAAAATTCACGTGGCCAATCACAGATCAGAAGTTCCAAGGGGAAAACTGAGGCAGAGGCTGCAGAACTGCCCAGCAATGGTCCCTGGGATGGCCCGCGGTGACCACGTGTGGCTCCAGCAGTTCCACCTGGCTGCTACAAAAGCCTCCCAAACCTTGGGTTAATTTTAGTGAGGGTTCCTGTAACGCTGGACCATGAAGTGCTGTTAATCTGGGTTGTTCCTGCTGGATACCTGGGCTGGTTAACCCCTGCCTCAGGTGTTAAACACAGCTGAGGAAAATCCTGGCTCTGCTTCACACCTCTCTCCCCCTGACAGCATCACTCCTGCTTCCCAGCTGGAGCTGCTGCCCCACAGCTTCAGCCCCAAGGCAGCACTGCCAGCCAAGTGACCCTAGATCCATCCTCCCCCTCCTGCCATCCTGGGCCCTGCTGCTGTGGCAGTGCCAGGAACGTTTGTGAGGATGGCAGCACCAAGCCCAGTGGGTTTGGTGTCACTGCTTGTCACCTGTTCCTAACATATCTGTCAGTCCAACTTACACTGACAAAATCCCAGTGTTTTAAAGCTAAGCCAGCATCTCCTCTTGCTCCAGCTAGTCAGAGTGGGGGCAGGCACCTGGATGCACCGGTGTGCCCAAAGCTGTGCCTCACTGCATCCCCTCCTGTAGTAGTTTTAAAGCACTAGCTAAAAAAAATCACTAGAGAACTTACTCATTTCTTGCTATGAGATATGGATTAGCAGAAGGGCAAAAAAAGGCTTAAAACTAAAAAGAAATAAAGAAAGTTTATTAACAAAACTTCAAGGATAAGAAACCAGAATAAAACTTCCAGAAACCCTTTTTTCCCTACCACCCAACCATTCCCTTGTCTAACTGACAACACAGAGACAAAACTTGGTGGTTAAAACAGTACCAACTATGTAATAGTCTTTTCATCAGTCTTTGTAGAGAAAAGAAGTTTCCTTTTGTCATTTCATGGAGAGTTCTCCACAAGAAAACAGTTATCTCATAGATTTTCATTCCCCCGATGCCAGCTGCCTGGAAAACTGCCATCAGGCTCCTCCTCCCATTTCACACCACTCTGAGGTGTGTTCATGGCCCATGAACTCAAGGCGTTTTTTAAGGCTTTTTAAGGATGAGTTATTCAAAGGCAAAGGTTCTCTTCATCTGTCTCTGTGATCATCTCTGGGAACAGAGGTTTTCTCCTTTTCTCTTGGGGGCCAAGTATTTCTATCAACTTTCAATTCTCTCTCTCTGTTCAAGCATCTCATGAGATCACAGCTACTCCACCAACTGCTCAGCTTCATCAATGGATACCTTTGCTCAGGTCTACACTTTGAAATACTTCATTGCCCCCAAAATACTCTTTCATGAATTAAAGGAGTTTTTTTCAGAACATTAATGTCCATCTCCATAGCCTTACCTAAAGAATATTTCAGCTTATTAGTGCATCTCCTTAATTCTCTCACCATCTGAGGCTTGATTCTTTCCTCCACTGACTTTGATAGTTTATGTTGTCCCTTTACATGTTGATCACTTTCTCTTCCCCCCCCCCTCTCTCTGGAAAAAGGATTAAATCTGCAGGTCTCATCTGGGTGGTAAAAGAGTTAAAATCTGGCTCCAGCCACAGCTAGGTATTTATGAGATTGGATTTCAGCTCGGCAGTGCTGGAAAAGCAGCAGATGCTGTTTTTCAGTCTGTGGCTGTTTGTGTGAGTCGTGAGGGCGAGCAGCCGTGGCTCGCTCCAGCCCAGGGCTGGGGTGCACAGCAGAGCCTGGCCCGGGAGGAGGGAAATCCCTGCAGGTTCCATCCCCCACAGGCTCCATCCCTGACCCAGGAGCTGTGGCAGGCCCAGCCCAGCCCCATGGGCCACATGGCAGGTGCAGGGTGGGAAACGGGAGCCAGCTGGAGTTCTGTTACCTTTCAAAGCCGGAAACTAAGAGAACAGAAATTCCCAGGCTTAGGTTTTAAAGGTGGTGTTCACAGGTTGACCTCACTTTTCAATGGTCAAAACTACTGTCAGTTCTCAGAAATGGCCAGCTGTTGGCCAGGAGAAAAAACTCCCATCAGCCTCCAGCAGCCTTAACTTCCAGGGGTGTTTTCTACATTTTTTTCTTAAATGCCAATCTATCACACCTCCTAATCCGTGCTGGATTAGTTTGGCCAACACAGCATGGGGAGCCCCAAAAAAAGTGTCTTCTGATAAAAGGCTTTGGGGACTCAAAGGAACGTCCATGCCCAGGGACCCTTGACTGAGAGTGAGAAGCAAAACCACAAAACCTCTTCCCAGGGGAGCACTGACCTCTTCTGCACAGGACAGAGGCCCATTCACCTGGTGACACATGTGAGGCACAGCTTACATGCCACTGGGCAAGGCAAGCCAGCCTGCCTGGCTTTGGGCAGGATGCCACACCAAAGGCAGCTCCAGCAGCGTGTGGTGGTTAGTCCTCACTGAGTGTGGATGCTGCTGGATGGGACACCCACCATCTCTCCTGCTTCTTGGAGTACTGCATCCCCTTGTTACACTCCCCTCACTTCCCTCCCCCTCCCCTAAACCCTCCAAAATCAGTCAATCTGGTCACAGCTCATTGGACTTGCTCCAGTGAGCTGTGACCAGACTGATGTAACGATGGATATCAAAAAAAAATCAAATGAAGGCAAATGATCACGCTCATGATTAATGATTAAGAGGATGGAATGTCTTGGCCAGCTGCAGCCAGCCCGGCTTTCTCTAGCCAGGAGCAGGTAGGCGGGATCACCCAGGATCTGGTCAACGCAGAGCCTTTGGCTCAAGGTCTCCAAAAAGAGATCAATCACCAACTTGGTGACCCCAAACAAAGCCCCCACTGTCTCTCTCTCTCATGTACAAGAGTCCTGTGGGTCAGTAACGAGTCAGACAGGGGGTGATGCAGAGCAGTGGGAATCCACAGTGGGTTGCCACATGTTCTAGTTGGACACTGGGACCTGCACCTTCTCCTGGACACTGGTCCACAGCAATGGCAATCCCATCTTTTTCCTCTTGTGTGGGTGTTGGACAGAATAAAGGTAGGACATGTACTGGAGCTCTGGTATGACCATTTTCTGGCAGGTTCTCAGAGTCCTGTTGTCCAGGTCTTGTTTGAGGTTGTAACCCAGGATATTTGCAGCCCCTGACTGGAAAGGCAGGAGAGCTTTATTCCTGATGTGATCCTTCCTCACTGCCTCCTGCTCTGAGAGACAAATCTCCATGAGCTCCTTCTGTCTGGTCCGCAGGAGATCCACCTCCTTTTCCAGCACCTCGAGCCCTATGGTCTCCTCAATTCTCCTCCAGAAGCTCTGGTTGAAGTGCAGGTAGAGCTTCCAGTCCAGCGAGCACCATGCTTTTATCTGCTCCTCACTTTCTGAAGTCAATGTCTGGACAGTTTCCTGGCTTCTGGCATTGAGCTTGAAGTAAATCACATCATCCAGATTCCAGCACAAAGTATTCTTCAAGAGGATCATGGACTCATCAAAGTAGTCTGCTATCAAGATGAGGTGGAAATTCTGCTCT